TTGGATAAGAATGATAGGAACCATTTTGATCAGGGAAAACTATCATTAAATAGGAAAATGTCAGGTAAAAGTCAGCGAATTTTACTTTAACTGTCTTGTAGCCCCCTGTCTGATTGGCGTACTGAACAGGAATGAATCTCGATGGGTATTAAATTTCCTGGTATATCTTGCTTGTAAAGGAACAAAACTACAGTCCTATCAAATAATTTCCTAATGATATATTAATCAATATACATTGAAAAAGTGGAGAATATATCTTCACATTTGTTGCCTATGTACATGCAGAATTTCTATTTACTTCGTCCAGACCTAATGACTGGCCAATGGTTTTGAAATAATCTTTCTTGCTGAAAAAATGGTCTTCACCACAATAAACTTCCATCATCCCCTTAATATCATCCAAACTGCACCAGCATTTGACCCCCTTTTAGCAGCTCCTTAAAATATTCTGTTCATCTGTCTACTTTGTATTCGTTTAGCCATATAATTGATACTGATCCTTGTTTTCTTTTCGAGATTGGGGCAATCCCTTTCTCGTTCACTTAATGTATTTTTCCAATTTGTGGGTTCAATTTCACGTTTTTCATCATTTTGATACCAAATACTAACAATTAGTCCTGATTACCAAGAAGAACATACAGCTTTGCCAAGCATTCAATATTAAAATTTCGTATTTTTTTTATGATATGGCCCAACCTCCGAACAAAATAAAGGAAATAAAAAAATGAAATTAATTATTTTATTAGTGATATATGAGTTTTATTATCCAACCCAGCAACTATCTATTATACCTAATTCAAATTAATTATATTTTAGTTTATAAAACATATGACTTATTTCCAGGAAAATATATACAATTTAACTTACCTCTAAGAATTAGTAAGTATACAAAACCAAGTATTAAAATATAAATGTTAAATACAAAATTCAAGATATTCAGCTAAGTATTTTTGAATTAAGTTTTATTATTATAATTATATCAATTTTGCAATAAAAGCATTCTTAAAGGATCTCCGTATAGAATAAAGAAAGTAATTAAAAAAAAAATTATTTAATTTTTTTGTACAGTTAAATTATTCCATTAATATTTATTCGTTAATATAGTCAATATAATGTACCAAAATCCTTATTATAACACTGTAACTATGCCATTTATAAGTGAATGATGTGGCAGAGACAAGTAGGCACCTACGCCAGTACCACTTTTCTGCCAATGAAGTGCATTTTCTACAAAACCACTTCAAATATTTTAAAAAGTTATCAGGATTTTAGAAAAAAAAGATATGTTCTCCAGATGTTTTATTTCAGGACATTTTTCATTATTGTTGGCCGTTTAATTACAAACAACGCTTGATTTTCAAATTGAATTTTTTTTTTAAATTGACTGCTTGTATTTTTTATTGCCTAAACCAATTATTTTTTAATATTTTTTCATGTTTTATTATTTTCTGACTATTCAGCTTTAATAAAAGGCCAAGTATGACAAAATTAAACCAAATGCTGATTCTCAGTGACCAGAAAAGTAACTCAAGTCAAATTCGTCAGTTCTCCATCTTTGAAATAAATTGTAACAAGGAACACAACGATATGCAATTTATAAGGTAGGGATGTGAAGAGGGGGGGGGGGAGAGGAATGCACATTAGGGGTTCTGGCCCACCATGTATTACCTCTATCAGGTTATTTTGTTTACATGTCAGAATAATAATCCCAATTAGTTTGTATTTTTCTTTCATTCAGTTAACATGGAGCGGAATGATAAAGAAAACCATTTGGTTTACAGCTGTTCAGCTGTGTTACCCTTACACAAAGTTGGAAAATGTTGGTCAGAGATTTTCAACACTTTGAAACGTTTGGCTATCAGCCATATGTTTGTGTACCACATTATAAAAAGATATAATGAGACCCTATCTGTATGTGACTGACCTCGATCCCCTGGGACTAACCACTTCCCTAAAAAAAAATTAGAGTGGATATATGCAAAGTGCTCCTTGGCCGTTACACCGATGGTCTTCATCGAAAGATTTTGTTTAGCGAAAAAGTTTTCAATTGAAGAAAAATTTAATCGCCAAAAAGATCGTGTGTACTCACACAGCTGTAAAGAAGTCCAGGAAATAATTATATGAATGGATAGAGGTCATTACGATTCCTCAGTGATGGTTTGGTGTCGAGTTAGCTTTGATGGAACCAACAAAGCTCCATTTTTGTGAAAAAGGAGTTAAAACAGGTGCTAAAACTATCAGGATGATATTTTGGAACCTGTTGTCAAGCCTCCAAATGATACTCTGCTGGAAGTCATTGGATTTTCCAGCAGGATTCCTCTCCACCTCACAAGGTCAGGTCAACTCAACAGTGGCTGTAAAAGAACATTCCAGAATTCATCTCTGCCTTGGATTGTCCCTCAGAAAGACCTAATCTCAACTCACTAGGTTATCGGCTTTGGTCCGAATGAAGAGGATGACTTGCCACAGAGCACATTCTAACTTGCAAAGCCTCAAACAATCTTTGGTACGAGCAGTTGTGCGCTTTCCTCAAGAGGTCCTGCATGCTGCTATTGATGATGCCACGGAGATTAAATGCCTGTGTCGAGGCAAAAAGGGGACATTTTGAGCAATTTCTTTTTTGTTTTACTCTCTATAAATATACATTTTATTTTCTAATATAGTTTTTAAAAAAAAAATATTTTTCAATTGAAATCTGTCTATATTTCCTTATAAAAATATTTATGATAGGACTAGGTATTGTAATATATACCTTTATTGGAAGTGGGTAAAAATGATTTAATAAATTGATGTTGAATAGTTAAAAGGCAAGCTAATCAAGTTCGACTAGTTCAGGGAAAAGAAAATGGCTGCTCTGTAGTGTCTCAAGAAGGAAAATCACAAAGAGGAGAGGGACAAAGGTTTTTGTTTTGGCAGGCAGTTGGTGTTTGGCTGGAGTGAAGAGAGGATGGGAGAAGTGATCCTGGCTCCAACGGGTAAAACCCAGTATTAGTATTACCACCTTGGAAGTTGTTATTTGGCAGAGAGACTAGTTGTTTGGAATCACAAGAGAGAGGATTTCCCAATGAGTTTAAGGAGTAGAAGAAATTATCACCAATTTGGAAGTTGTGTTTAGCAGAACTTTGTAAAGTGTTTGAAAACTAATGAATTCAGTGCTACAAAGGAAGAAACTGTGTATTTAGAAAAAAGGTTAGCTTTCCAATCCATATTTGACTTTATTTTAAAATCAAACAGTATTTAGTATAGTTCATGTTAGTTTGTCTGAGTTGATCTGACTGTCAGTAATCCACACCTGAGATAAATAAATATATTCTCTCATAATTTTGTTATTATTAAACAATCTCTTATTTATTTAGGAAGTATCCCAATGGTAAGAGGGATGTTACAGTATATATATTGTAATATACACCTTTATTGGAAATGGGTAAAAATGCTTTAATAAATTAATGTTGAACAATTAAAAGGCAAGCTAATCTAGTTCTACTAGTGCAGGGAAAAGAAAATGACTACTCTGTAATTTCCCAAGAAGGAAAATCCCAAAGAAGAGAGGGACAAAGGTTTTTGTTTTGGCAAGTTATTGTTGTGTGAGTGCAGTGAAGAGAGGTTAAGAGAAGATATCCTATCCTGGCTCCAGTGGGTAAAACCCAGTATTAGTTTTACCATCTTAGAAGGTCTTGTTTGGCAAGGAGAATAGTTGTTTGGAATTGCAAGAGAGAGGATTTCCCAGAGATCTTGAGTTGAGTGGAAGAATAGTGTTACCATTTTGGGATATGTGTTTGGCAGAACATAAGGAAATGTGTGAAGACAAATGAGTTCAGTGCCACAAAGGAAGAAACATTGTATATAGAAAAAAGGTTAGCTTGTCAATTCACACTTGACTTTATTTTAAAATCAATGTTTAATTTGAATATAACTAGTGTAAATAATAATAGTTTGTATGAGTTGATCTGATTTTCAGTAACCCACACCTGAGATAAATAAATATATTAATACTCTTATAATTTTGTTTTTTATTTAACAACCTCTCATTTCTTTTGGAAGTATCTTAATGGATAAAGTGATTTTTCGAGGTTATATTATTATTATTTGTAAAATATAACCTCGAAAGATCACTTTATCCATTAGGATACATATCCATTAGGATATATATATATATATACATATATACATATATACATACAATCCCTTATGTATATGCAATATATATACATATATATAATGTTTACTTTAACATTATACCACAAAAAAGATGAAGGGTCTTAGGTTTAGTAAATGATTATACAAGGGTGTGGTATGGCCACCATTCGTGCTCTACTACAAAGATTACCTTCTTTTTAGAGGCAGGATGTCTCCCAGAATGGTATCTCAATCTTATAGTCAATCGTTGGCTGTTAATTTGTAAAATATATAAATTATTTGTTTCAACCGGCCTTGAACACTAAGCTATCCTCCTCTGTACATAAAAAAGAAAAGTTTTAATAATGGATATAAGAACATTTTAATTTTTTCTTAAGTTGTAAAAAACCATATGGATGTGAAATTAAAGGGCGATCAATGCCGTACATAGAATATTTCGACTGACGAAAGATGAGTCAACTGGAGAATTTAGACGATTACACAATGCCAAATTGTGTGCACTATATCCGGTTAATATCATTGAGGGCATTACATTGCTGCAATTCAAATGGTCATGTAAAATTGTTGGGCATAGTAACAAAAGAATCTCTAAAAGGTCGCTGTGTGGTAAATGCCTAATGGGGTATTATAAGTGATTGTGGTGGTATCGGAATAACCTTCCGCTTCGCCAAGTCTTTTATTATTATTAGCTATCAAAAGATTTCTTTTTAGTGAAAGAAGTGTAAATAATAAATTTAATAAATTAAAAAACAAGGGAAAATAAATAAATATGTAAAAAAAATATTTTAAATTTCTGTTATATATATTTAAGGTTGACTTTTTTTTTTTTTTTTACTGTTTTATTCATGTTAATTATTTTTTAGCAAGAACCGTTCGATATGGAAACTGAAGGAAAAGAAATGAATAACCTGTTAGTAAAACTTATTGATAATATTTTTGAGACTGACGCAAAAACAAGGAGGATCACTGGTGAAGTAAATGTTTTATTGTTTTGGATTCTAATAATTTTATCATTACTTTTAAGTTATTTGTTTTCTTAATGATTGTTAGCTAGGAAAAGTATAACAATGGACAAGTTCCTTAACTCAGCACTATGTTCATCAATGGTGTAGTTTAGCTCAGGTTATAGATGGAGTCAAATGCCATCAATGAACTTAGCTCACCAAGTTAAGGAACTTGTCAAAAGTTACATATTGTAACTCCAATCATATTGTACTTTAAAGTGGAAAACTTTGGTATAATTGTTGGTACTTGTCTGATAGCCAGCTGGGACCGACTGCTACCTGGCAATGTTTATAACCTGAACACTGATAATTCTTATCTTCATATTCATATTTCTTGTATTATATTCATATTATTGAAATTGTAAACAAAAACAAAAGTAATAATAAAAAAAAATTTTGTTTATTTTACCACATAGTTATATCAACATATATATTAAATAGACGTAAACAAATGTAATAATAACAAAGCAGTTTGATTTGAAATTGAAAAAGACAAAAAGAAATGTTGTTGGGTTAATTAATTCACTTGGTCTATGTTCCATTCTTTTTCAACAGTCAGAATAAATGGTGCCGCCCTCTTGAATATTGTTTTTAATAAATTTTAATAAAGTTGTTGCCTTTCTGTCGTTTATTTTGACGATAAAACATTCGTCTATTTCTCGGCAAACTCCGCCAAACATCCATTGCTCAGGTAGAACTCTCCCTACATGCTCTTTTATTTTAGAAAAAAGACTAGTCTACTTCAACGACTTTGCCAGGCCCTCAAATTTTTTTATTTGGCCTGTATAACATGTTATTGACACAACCTCTCTTAAAAATTTGTTCCACAATCATACAAATGGAACAAAAAGAAACAATGGAATAATTCACAGCTTACACGGGGAACAAAAATAAACAATGGAATAACTCACACATTACACAAGATAAGAAGAGAGATTATGTGATGTAACATTAGATAACAAAGGAGGTTTCGTCCCGATCGGCTGTCAGACAAGTACCTAATTGTTTTCAGTGGCTTGCTTTTTTTTTTTTTTTTTGTACGGTACTTAAAATGAATTTGCAAATTTTTTTTTATGATAAATCATAAAAAAAACATTAAAAATCACAAGTTTTTAATTTTTGTTTATAACATCCAAAGTAACCTTTTTGTGCAAAAATTTGTAACTAAAAATAACATAAAACATAATGCACTTGAACCCCGACATGATAAGAACTTCGGTCTTTCAAGAGGGTTTCTTCTGAGTATCTTCACTATGCTTCAATACTATCTATATAGTTTTAAACAATTCATTTGTTAATGTTAAATTAAGTTGAAAACAGTGGCTCATAAAAAATGTTTTATTGTCTTATGTTTTTAAGGACCTTTTGTGTCCTACTAAATAAAATTAAATGTCGCTACTAAAACATGTCCTTTTTTCCTCTAACATGTAAAGAAAGCTTTTCATGCAAAAAGTTTTCCTATAGTTAGATCTTATTCTTATTATATAACGATAATTTTATATACATATACTGTTTTCATAAATGCTAGTATTTATTATTGATATTATTGTCCATTATTGTATTATTTAATATTTAATTGTATAGATTACAGCAATAAAAAATTAAAATTTTTATATATACCTACAATGAAATATAATAAATATAGCGACCTTCTTTATCAATGGCACTCTTGTCAAACTAAAAATATTTCGTGGCACTAAATTATTTATTATAATCAAATAAATAATTAAAATATACAGTCATAAAGAGAAATGGTTATTGACAAAAAAACATAAATATAATACATTAGATGGCTATGAAAAACAGATGGAATTAATTGTTTTAAATAATATTTGGTACCACCCATAATTTTTTTTAATTTGACTTCCTTTTGTTGGAAAATATTTATTTCTGCTAACAAAAAAAAACAGTGGTAACTGAAAGTTGTGTTAGATTTTTACTTTCACTTACGTATATATGTAATATATAGTAAGGGTAAGTATTGCGATCTTGAAAATTTTTGAATCTCTGTTTTTAACGGAAATACATGTTTTGATGTCCCCTGAGTCCAAATAACCAAGTGTCCCAAAATGGTCTGTGTGTGTGTGTGTGTATATATAAGTATATATATATATATATATACTTATATATATATATACTTATATATATATATATATATATATATATATATATATATATATATATAAGTATATATATACAGTAAGGGAAAGTACTGAAATCTTTAATTTTGGAGAAGCTTCAGGCCGAAAGCCTCCCCTCATAGATCCTCCTGTGAACAGTATTAGATTTTAGTGCAAATATGACTCAAGAGGAGCATTTCAATGTTTGCCTATGGACTGATGTAATCATCCCACATATCGTCAAAAATTTCACAATGTTTCATAATATCAAGTGGTAAAAAAATAGACTATAGTTGAAATATTTAACCAGGAGATTATAGAGAATGCACAATATTATCAAATTCACAGTAACAACAATTTTGCTCCATTTATATTGTTAGACAAATAAGACCTTTAGTTTAATTTTTGAATGCCAAATATTAATCTTACAACGAATAGTACAAAACATGATAATTTCACAAGTTAGACGAGTTGAGTCCAATAAGAAAAAATTGTAAAAATGTGTTTCAGCGTTCACATAAAGTGGCACTTTAGTTGGCCGATTTTAACAAAAAAGTTGCTGTCACATCCATACACAAACCTTAAATAATTAATATCAATTTCGTACTACTTTTCGTTTATGAGCTAGACTGTTAACACACACACACACACACACAGACCATTTTGGGACACTTGGTTATTTGGACTCAGGGGACATCAAAACATGTATTTCCGTTAAAAACAGAGATTCAAAAATTTTCAAGATCGCAATACTTACCCTTACTATATATTACATATATACGTAAGTGAAAGTAAAAATCTAACACAACTTTCAGTTACTACTGTTTTTTTTTGTTAGCAGAAATAAATATTTTCCAACAAAAGGAAGTCAAATTAAAAAAAATTATGGGTGGTACCAAATATTATTTAAAACAATTAATTCCATCTGTTTTTCATAGCCATCTAATGTATTATATTTATGTTTTTTTGTCAATAACCATTTCTCTTTATGACTGTATATTTTAATTATTTATTTGATTATAATAAATAATTTAGTGCCACGAAATATTTTTAGTTTGACAAGAGTGCCATTGATAAAGAAGGTCGCTATATTTATTATATTTCATTGTAGGTATATATAAAAATTTTAATTTTTTATTGCTGTAATCTATACAATTAAATATTAAATAATACAATAATGGACAATAATATCAATAATAAATACTAGCATTTATGAAAACAGTATATGTATATAAAATTATCGTTATATAATAAGAATAAGATCTAACTATAGGAAAACTTTTTGCATGAAAAGCTTTCTTTACATGTTAGAGGAAAAAAGGACATGTTTTAGTAGCGACATTTAATTTTATTTAGTAGGACACAAAAGGTCCTTAAAAACATAAGACAATAAAACATTTTTTATGAGCCACTGTTTTCAACTTAATTTAACATTAACAAATGAATTGTTTAAAACTATATAGATAGTATTGAAGCATAGTGAAGATACTCAGAAGAAACCCTCTTGAAAGACCGAAGTTCTTATCATGTCGGGGTTCAAGTGCATTATGTTTTATGTTATTTTTAGTTACAAATTTTTGCACAAAAAGGTTACTTTGGATGTTATAAACCAAAAATTAAAAACTTGTGATTTTTAATGTTTTTTTTATGATTTATCATAAAAAAAAATTTGCAAATTCATTTTAAGTACCGTACAAAAAAAAAAAAAAAAAAAGCAAGCCACTGAAAACAATTAGGTACTTGTCTGACAGCCGATCGGGACGAAACCTCCTTTGTTATCTAATGTTACATCACATAATCTCTCTTCTTATCTTGTGTAATGTGTGAGTTATTCCATTGTTTATTTTTGTTCCCCGTGTAAGCTGTGAATTATTCCATTGTTTCTTTTTGTTCCATTTGTATGATTGTGGAACAAATTTTTAAGAGAGGTTGTGTCAATAACATGTTATACAGGCCAAATAAAAAAATTGGAGGGCCTGGCAAAGTCGTTGAAGTAGACTAGTCTTTTTTCTAAAATAAAAGAGCATGTAGGGAGAGTTCTACCTGAGCAATGGATGTTTGGCGGAGTTTGCCGAGAAATAGACGAATGTTTTATCGTCAAAATAAACGACAGAAAGGCAACAACTTTATTAAAATTTATTAAAAACAATATTCAAGAGGGCGGCACCATTTATTCTGACTGTTGAAAAAGAATGGAACATAGACCAAGTGAATTAATTAACCCAACAACATTTCTTTATATATATATATTTGCTAACAGGTGTTTTTATGGTTTTTATTACCTCTTATTTGCTTTGCTAACAGGTGTTTTTATGGTTAATTGTATGACCTATTTTATCTGTTTATTACTTTCACTTATCTATCTGTATATATGAAATATATATATATATATATATATATATATATATATATATATATAAAATATATATATAAAATAGGTCACACAATTAACCATAAAAACACCTGTTAGCAAAGCAAATAAGAGGCTCATTGTATTCTAATCGAAATATCGAACATTGCTGATTTAAAGTGTGTTTGAAACATTATCTTGAGTGACATCTAACTTCAGTTAGTAGGCCTATATAAAAATAACATGGCTTATTTTTCTATTAAAAACCAAAAGGGGACAGATAAATAATGTCAATAAATTGACTAGTGTCCTGTAAAGAATTAAAGCTAATATACTATAAACTTAATAAAGCCTTTTAAATTCTTAACACTATAGTGTTTTTTCTTATTTTTTATTAGACAGTTTCAATACATACCGAAGAAGTGGTTAAGGTAAGTCCAAGCCAAAGTCGACATTCATTGGTAGATAGTGAGGAACAGCTGCAATCACGCAACATGGAAGAAGTATGGAAGAACACCCCAAAGGAGGAGTGGAATGAAAAAAATAAAGAATTGGTATATAAAACGGAGGAAGAGAAAACAGAAGTGACGGAGTGTGAGTGTGAGCCTGAGGCTGAGTCCGAGGAGGATTTGAAACAGCCAGATCTTGAATCGGACCGTGCCGGCACTAGTGTAGGTGAAGTCTTTTTTAGCAGCACTCCTACCGATGGATTATCGCCTTTAGCAAAGGAGTTATATGAAATCAGGGATGTCATTGAATTTTACTTACATTCTAAAGTAGTAAGTTTTTATTTGTATACCTTCAATATTCATATAATTCAGATCGATAGAAAAAAATGTTTATGTTGTATACCACTTAACAGTTACTTATTTAATATATTTATACCTTTAAATGAGAAGAGTTTTTGGGACCCAACAACATTAAATTATAACATTAACAATTCATTTATAAAACCTATTTCAACAGCATCAATTTAGACAATATCAAAATATTGTATAAATGTAATTCCTGAGCAAAGCATTAAACGTCAGAATCTATGTATATATTGTAATATTTCTCTTGTATTTTTGAACTAATCATGTAACCTCGGAAGACCACTTTATATTGTTGGGATACTTCTTAAATATATATGAGGTTATTAAATAATAAACAAAATTATAAGAGTATTAATATATTAAATTGAAATTTATAATTATTTTATCTCAGGTATGGATTACTGACAATCTGATCAAAACAATTAGACAAGCTATTATTATTTATACTAAAATGAAACACTGATTTTAAAATAAAGTCAAGTACGGGTTGGCAAGCTAACCTTTCTTCCTTTATTGCACTAAATTCATTTGTCTTCTAATGTTTTCCTATGTTCTCTCAAACACATCTTCCAAATTGGCGACACTTTCTTCTACTCAACTAAAGCTCTCTGGGAGATCCTCGCTCTTGTATTTTCAAACAACTAGTCTCTCTACCAATCAACAACTTCCAAGATGGTAATACTATTACAGGGTTTTCCCCACTGGAGCCAGGATCTCTTCTCCCATCCTCTCTTCTCCAGCCAAACACCAACTGCTTGCGAAAACAAAATCCTTTGTCCCCTCTTCTCTGTGGGATTTACCTTTCTGGAGAAACTACAGAGCAGCCATTTTTTTTTCTTTGAACTAGTGAAACTAGATTAGCATGCCTTTTAACAGTTCAACATTAATTTATTAAACCATTTTTACCAACTTCCAATAAAGGTGGATATTATAATATATAAATCTTAAATAATTTATACATTCTGATTGGATTTTGTTACTTCTTAAAATTGTTGTTGATTTTGTATTGGAGAGCTTACTGGTTTGGTGACTGTAAAAGATTTGGGGTCTAATAAATAACAACTGCAGATAAAGATACATATATTTATAATTAAATGGAACTAGTAGGCCCATGCGAAAATTCGCACAGCATATTGTTATCAAATGCCATATTAATAAGAAAATAAGAAAATGCAACTTATCAAAAGATTAAGACATCAAGTGTTACTTTATCGATAAATATAATCCACAAAGCAAACAAAAATTAATTAAAATCTTCATTTTTGTTTGGAACCAACATATATACAAATTTCAGTAAGCTGTATATTTGCTAAAAATTGTCCGATTGTGATGATTTTTTTTTCCTTTTGTAGGAAATTTAGTAATCGTTTATATAATCATGGAAATAACAAAGGGAAAAGTGTGTAATTTTTCAGTTATTCGCAAATAAAGTTTATTTTCTTTCATAACTTGTTTGCCTGAATTTTCTGAGTGATTGGACTATTTTGCCAGCCTGAAGGAGAAGGAAGCCTTCGAAATTGGTGGCTCAATCTTGAGATTTGGTGAAAAATTAACGATGATATGGCTTGCCGATCAAAAACACCATCGATGAATAATATAAACTCCCCATCTCTCGATCATAGAGACCTCAAGTCGACGAAATGAGACATGTATTCAATGACAGTACTACAATTAATGTAAGGTTGTGTGGATGCAAACCCTATGCCTTGTGTTATCTCGAAAATAGTACGTTTTTCGGCTTTAAAACGCAGGATCCGATAGTTCCGAAGGAACTATGCGGGTCTTGCTGTACGCATCAAAATCTTTAAGATCCAATTTGTCCCGTATCGATCTACAGACCTACCACCGTTCCAGTATCGAAGGCTAGCAAAATGTTCCAGCAGTTTTCTGAGTATTCCTACTTCCGGCATGCATTCAATGTAGCCAACCGCATTTTTATCAACTTAACAAACCTAATTATGTCAGTCTCGCCATAAAGTTGGTATATTTTGTTGTTTGTCCTCCGTCTCCAGTGCTCTCCAATCCTTACCGGTCCAATTATTCGTCGGAGAATTTATCTCTCAAATATAAGAATTTTTCTCTTCTCATTACTCATTACCTGCAAACTCTATTCTTGTCAAAAGTTTATTGAAAATAAATGAATTTTGCTAATTTTTGTTCTATGAGCATTATATTTTCGGTTTAAGTTTTTTTGTTGGCCGAAGATAAAGATGAAATGCTCTATGTAACTTTTTTGATCATATTTCTGCCAAATAATCTTTCAGGGGCATTTTCATAACTCACAGGAATTTACTTCTAGCTTACAGCTTTTTACTTACTCTGAAAAACAGGCATTAGTTGGGTAAAAGCAGTCTTTTTTATTGTATTAACACCAATAACTTTGTTGATAATGATGAAATCATTACAGGAACACTCAGTTTCCAAAATGTATAGAAACGTTACTTCATATGAAGAATTTTAATTTCCTCTCTCATCTTCTCCCACCTTGACTATGGTTTATTTTATTTTATTTTTTTTGTTGTTCTCCCCTTCTTTGCCTTTTAGGCTATACGGAGTTTTCCCGGACCACGTGGTGAGGGCTGTGGTTTAATGCCAGAGTTAAAAACCTCACTGGCACTGGGACACGAACTCTTTACTTATTTTATTCCGTATAAATTTGTTTATCAGATTGCTGGGAAACGCAATGTTAGCCTGCTCGGCCATCCCACCCCTAACCTTTGATTATGGCTGTGTGGTGTATGATGGACTCCTGGCGGATCTCAGAGGAAGAATAAGAAGAATATGAATAGCTTTATAAGATTCGTTAATGGGACCCCGAGACGTTCCCTTGTTTCCCACTGATATGCTGAGTTAAGGTGGCTCTTCCCTCTTTCAGAAGTCAATACCTCCAAGGCATATTCCTTTACTAAACAAGAACCATAGACTCTCCCCCCTTCGCCTACAATTTCCTCCAATTATAGTCCTCCATTCATTGCCTCTCCAGAAGATCTCTCTATATATGAAACATGAATATGTAATGTAAATATGTAATATGGATACATATTTAATATTACTTTGTACAGAGTCCCTGGTTACAATTTACTATTATGTTTGTTTATTTACCACATTAAACATAATTCTAAACAATTATGTTTAATTAGTTATACATCTTTTAATTAACTGAAGTTCCAATTTATTTATTGATCTTTTTCTTTGTTAGGTAAGAATGTTTGCTGATATGATTATTTTATTCTTTCTGTATCATTTTATTGATATATCGATTATTTTATTTCACCTTTTTTATCTGTTTATTAATATATGTATATATATATATATATATATATATATATATATATATATATATATATATATATATATATATATAAGATAAAGACCGGAGACTGGCGATATCAGCCTTAATACCATCTTGTAATGTAAATAAACATAGTGATTGTATATAAGGCAGATTATTGGACGAATAAAGCAGTGTTTATTCAGAAGCCGTGACTATTGTTTCTCGTTCCTCTTTCCTTCTTTTTTTTTATTTTTAAAGCCCGGAGACGCTTAACTGGTGCCGAAACCCGGGAGAACGTCAGGAGAACACGGAAGTAAAAAATTTTTTTTTCTGTCTTTATTTTAATTTTTGTTTCTCTTCTCCTAGTCATAAGGAAAAGACGAGATGCCGACAGAGGGCATAATTCGACCAGGAGTGTTGAACGCACCTGAAATGCCGCAACCTCAGGAAATGCCGATAGCGCAGATTCCTCAGATCGCCCCTCAGGTTCCGCAGATTCCGCAGATACCTCAGATACCTCAAGTACCGCAGATACAAGAGATCCCTCCCTTACCTAGGGACACATTGGCAGAGGCGCATGCCAATGCATTGGAGTGGATGAAGATAAGGGCAGCGACCACGCAGGATCTACGGAGAGCAATCGCAGACCTGGAGCGATTCGGGGGCGAGATAGGTGAACTTAATCACTTCCTGAAAGGCGGAGACCGCCTCATATCAAGAATCGAAGCAAAGGTGGCGGAGGACCTCGTGAACCGGGGAGACGCAGAAGCACTGAAGGCAGCTCTCGTGTGCCGAGTGAGGAGGAACATCCTCAACCAAATCCAAGCGGACGAGGAGACACCATGGCCAGTGATTAAGGAGCGTTTGAAGAAGGCTTTCGGAGGGGGCCGATGGACGCCGGAAGAAGATATCTTCCAAATGTTTAGGGAGTGTCGGTCCCAACGCCAAACAAGAGGACAGTATGCGGGGGTACTAGTGGCGAAGTACAACCGCATAACTGAGAAAATGCGTGAAACCATGAGTGTGGGAGAGGTCGAGGCTAGGATGGAATTCCTTTCGACAATACTCAAGGTTCAGTTGGCTAAGGAGACTGGGAGAAGGGACGGACTGCCTAGAGAGCGATCGTTCCTCGAGTGTGCCCAAGAAATGATAGATCTGAGTGCAAGAGAGGAAGAGACGCGGATGGAAATAGAAGAACCAGGGTGGACCCGAGTGAGTGACAGACGACCCCGGACAGCCCAGATAGGGTGGAGGAAGAGGGAAATGAAACACCCGAACGGAGAAAAAGCCACGACGGGCGAGAGAAGATCCGGACAGTCCAGGCCTAGGAATGGACCCCGGAGGGAAGACCGAAAATGTCACGGGTGCGGGAAACCGGGACATTTGGTAGCACAATGTCCGCGCACTAGATGTTTCGAGTGCGGGACTGAAGGGCATATTGCCAGACAGTGCCCGTACATGTTTCGCAGGAGAGAGAGACCTCTAGACGAGCCAATGGAGGTGAACGCTCAAAAGTTAAAAAAACGAGCTAGGATGCAGCAGAGAGACGGATCTTCGGAAGAGGCAACCGAGGAGTCGGGGACGTCGGGAACGGAGACTGACGAGCCAGCCAGCAGTGGAGGCGAAGGAGGCAGGAGCAGCCAACGGAGCGAGCAACGACGAGCGACGGCGGTAAGGAGGAAGCGAGGTGGCATCTGAGAAGGGTGTCAGCAGAGAGGCGACCGCACAGCAACCTGCAACAATATTAGAGGTAAGCCATGCTGGTTGCCGATTATTGAAGTAGATGGGGGAGTGAAGTGTCTCGTGGACACAGGGAGCTCGAGTACTATCTTGACTCGGGGGGCGTTGGGGAGAGTGTGCGGGAGCGAGAGGGTACTCCGGATACAAAACTGTGGCTGCCAGCTAATCACTCTGGGTGGTCCCTGTAAAGTAGAAGGGGAAGCGTCAATTACGCTTGACCGGTGGGCAGGGAAAAAGGGGGAGCTAAGGGTGCATGTGGTAGAGAGCATGGCGCGGGAGTACCAAGTCATAATAGGGTGTGATCTGTTAGGACAGGTAGGGGTAAGCATTAGAAACCGTAGAGGAGCTTGGAGTATCAGGCTGGGAAAGAGGAAATTTGGATGTATAGGGGTCGCGAGAGAAAGAAGGGTGCGGATAGGAGCGGTGAACAGGGTGGAGGACTGGAGAAAGGCGTTACAAGCGGAGTTCGTAGATATTTTCTTCAGGGAGGGCGAGGTATTGGGGGTAACAGGGAAGACGGTACACGAAGTTCCACTGAAGCAAGATAGGGTGACCTACGTAAAGGAAAGGAGATACCCGCAGGCGATGAGGCAGCATATTCGGGAAGAATTGGAAAGCCTGAAGGAGCAAGGGATCATAGTCGATAGCACCTCGCCATTTAATAGTCCCCTGTGGGCAGTGAAAAAGAAGGCAGCGCCGGGGGATAATAAGGAAAAATACAGAGTGGTAGTGGACTATCGTAGGTTGAACGATAACACGGTAGACGAAAAGTACCCGATCCCTAGATTCGAAGATATACTTGATAGGTTGAGTGGGGCCGTGGTGTTTAGCACGTTGGACCTCAAGGCGGGATACCACCAAATACGGATGCACCCGAAGGACCAACATAAGACGGCGTTTACATTCGAAAGGGGGCATTACGAATTCACCAGAATGCCGTTTGGTCTGAAGAATGCGCCCATAACGTTTCAACGCCTGATGGACGAATTTCTGAGGGGGATCGACGACTCCGTATGTCAAGTATACATGGACGACCTGCTGATTTTTAGCAGAACGGAAGCCGAACACGTGGGGCATTTGAGGTCGGTATTCGAAAGGCTGCGACAATTCGGGCTGAAACTGTCAAGTGAGAAGTCCCTGTTGGGACAAACGCGAATCAATTTTTTAGGCCACACTATTTCTAGCGAGGGGGTCAGACCGGATGCGGCAAAGGTGGAGGCTATCACACGAATGGCGGTGCCACGGGACGTTAAAGGGATTCGTAGGCTTCTCGGGACGCTGAATTATTATAGGAGATTCGTACCTGAGATGGCAGAATACTTGGTACCTATCAATAACTTGCTGAAGAAAGGCGCGAGGATCGTGGTGACACCGGAAATGGAAAATAATATTCGGAAATGCATGGATAGGTTGCAGGCAGAACCCGTATTGGCGTTCCCGGATTTTGAGAAGCAGTTCAACGTCACCACCGATGCGAGCGAATACGCGTTGGGGGCCGTTTTATCCCAGGGCAGAAGTGAGGGTGAACGTCCGATAGCATACGCGAGCCGACGGCTTACGAGCGCGGAATCACGGTACAGCGCGTTAGAGAGGGAGCTACTCGCGATAGTGTGGGCCATCGACCATTTCAGGCCATATATATTTGGGAGGAAGTTTCGAGTCCACACCGATCACAAACCCCTTCAGTGGGTAGGAAAACTTAAGGAAACCTCTGCGAGGGTCACGAGATGGAAAGAATTCCTTAGTCAGTACAACATGGAGGTGGTGTATAAGCCGGGAAAGGAAAACGTGGTGGCAGACTGGCTCTCTAGGGCCATCATGATCAACGCGGTAGAAGAGGACGGAGGAGGTCCATCGCGGGACGTGCGCCAATTCTTGAGGGAATGGACTCCTGAGGGTGAAGGGGCAGATGATACCGTCAGTATAGAGGACAGGGAGGGGTCCCCGGAAGAAGAGAGCTCAGCGGAGGAAAGACCAGAGGCGATGGAGGAAATAGACGAAATCATCAACGACAAGCATAGACAGGTAATCTGGAAAACCAGGACAACAGGGATCATGAAAATAGATTACCGAAGATACGGGAAAAGTAGGATTCGCGTCATTTGGTCGCAACCCGGGGTGAGCGAGGAGCAAATCCGTACGGCACTGAAGGACGCCACGGAACCGGGAAAGACACACCATCTCTATGTTGGGAACAACACGGTATGGGAGAAAATAAAGCGGATGTGGAGATCCGAGCGGATAGGCATGGATAGAACGATCATCCGGTGCAAGTATGCAGTGGAAACCGTACAGGATGAGGAGCAGCAACAAGCAATTACTTTGGCATACCACCAGGGGAAGACCAACCACCGAGGCGTCAACGAGACGTTGCAGGCATTACGGCGAAAGTATTTCTGGTGGGGAATGAAAAAATCTATCCAAGGAATCATCGGGAAATGCGAGGTATGTATGCGCACAAAGTATGATCGACACCCCCCCAGAGGAGTTCAGGAAGAGACACCTACAGGGAATATGCCGCTACAAGACCTCCAGATCGATACATTCACCTGGAAAGGGTTCAAGTGGGTCACGATCATCGACACCTTTAGTAAAGTAGCTATGGCACATCAGGTCATGGACAAGTCTGCCAATGCAGTTGCGGAAGCCCTACAAATCTGGATACAGTTTTACGGAGTTCCCGAGAGGATCACATCAGACGGTGGTAGAGAATTCGACAATACCGCGATTAGGGAGGAGGTGAAAAGGTTAGAGGTTGTGTGGCATTATAACACACCGGGACACCCTAAGAGTAGAGGAGGAATCGAACGCTTGCACAGCACGTTGAGTGACCACATCCGTGTATATCAGGGAGAGAAAGGGTTGGAGCCGGATGTTGCGATGAAGAAAGCCGTAACAGCTTACAACCATTCGATCCACTCCGTAACGGGGTTTTCACCTGTGGAAATACTATTCGGGATGCGCAGGCCAAGGAGAGATTGGGGGGAAACAACGACCAATGAACATCTCGTAGAGCAAATCCAGAATACTAGGGTAGAGGTAGGAAAGACGTGGGGGAAGGTAGCGGGGAGAATTCAGCGGGAAAAGGAGAAGCGGGTAGCGCGGCAGAATGTGCAGGTACGTGACCGAATGGGAGAATTAAAAATCGGAACAATAGTGTATCGTAGAATTGGAACCAACAGAGGGAAACAATTGTTACGGTACGAGGGCCCATTCAGAGTGGTTGCTATTAGGGAGCATAATCTGGTAACCATTGAAAGCATTAACGAACCTAAGAAGAGGAGAACTGTTCATATTGAACAATTGAAGCTCCCAATGTTAGAACCGGTACAGAAACCAATTGATTCGTAGTACCCTTATCGCGTATTATAAAAAAAATATGTTTTTTTTATTATTATTACTGTTGATGATGTCATTTTTTTTTAATTATTTTTGTTGTTCTTGTAAATAAAGATATGGCAGCATAATAGAGGTGATTGTAATTTTTATAGGATTAAGAGTTCTGTTCCATTGTTAATAAGACGTTGTGTGTTTACTTTCTGTGGTTTATTTTTTTTTTGATTTATTTCTCGTTCCAGCGGAGTGGAAGTGAGGTTTGGTGTACTTTAAGTTTATACTGGTACAAATAATTGTAAAGGGTTAAGGCTGATACCGGTGGCTCCGATCTGGGAATTTATAAGTTTCCGAAAATCCTATTCGTAAACTGGTGGGGGGGAGATAAAGACCGGAGACTGGCGATATCAGCCTTAATACCATCTTGTAATGTAAATAAACATAGCGATTGTATATAAGGCAGATTATTGGACGAATAAAGCAGTGTTTATTCAGAAGCCGTGACTATTGTTTCTCGTTCCTCTTTCCTTCTTTTTTTTTATTTTTAAAGCCCGGAGACGCTTAACTTATATATATATATATATATATATATATATATATATATATATATATATATTTTATATATATATAACTATGTATATTTTATATATATATAACTATGTATATACGGAGGTATTTATTTTAATTTCTTTTTATGCAAAAGGTCTAATGGTCAGAATTGATCATCATTTTTGTTTCTATTGTTATTCTATAGTCCCAGAATGAAGTTGATTTTTCTATTATTTTCTGTGCTTTATCAACTGGTGAAAACTGTTTGAAATTTTTTCTCTCAGTGGCTTGAATTTCTCTAACAGAAATACAATAAAATAGTTTTTAAACAATTCCAAAATGACACTTTGTTATATATTTTTGGCTTTCCAATATTAAAAAGAATCGTAAAATTTTATTTGAAAAATTGAATTTTTTAGGAAAGGTTTATGTTATATAAAAATACTTTGGGAAGTTTTTTTTCATATAAACAGATTTGATATTACTTAAACAGTTTTTGTATTACTGTAAAGGTTTTATAGTATTCAATTGTAATAGAGGTATATAAGGAATAACGTGAAACATGAAAGCTTTATTAAACTGAATTCAACACACAATGACTAAATTAATAAGGTTAAGCAACTAACATATGTTTTTAGAAACAGTTGATAACTAGATCACAATATATCATATATCATCAATATACTTTTTTTTTTTTTTTTTTTTTTTTAAGGAACCACTGGATTGGCGTGTGATGATAGACAGACGTGCAGAAGATTAATAAGAAAAATATAGTAAATCAGTACAAAAAGACTGTTTTTCAACTGCAAATTGTTTCTTCTAATATTTTAGTTCGTGCTCTTATAAACTTAAGTTTTTATGAAAATTGAGAGCACAATCAATAAAAAATCGTACTTCTTTATGAGAAATATAGTCTGTGACAGTGGTGTAAATAATTCAGAAAGCTCCCAATACAATCTTAATTCCATGCATTCTGGCTATTCTCTCCCCTCCCCCCCCCTCCTTACTCACATGTATTTACGACAGAACCTCAGTAATAATGGTATCTGAATATTAGAATACTTGTAAGTTCATGCTTTGAACAAAAACACAGGTTTCAAATTTAACTATGATTTGTTATCACAACATGACCATTTGTAACAGTAATTCATAATTACTTCCTTTGAAAATATTCAAGTACGAAAAAAAAAAAAAAAAAAAATATCCCTGTTGATCATCTTTTCAGAAATTTTTGTGAGGAGATAGGGATCTTCATGTAAAAGATGATTCAACATCAATGGAAACCCTGGGTGATGGTGGATTCTCTATCACAATAATATGTGGTTTTGGCTTTTAATTTATTTAATATTACATAACATACCTCTCAGGCACCTCATTTGACACCACTTTACTTTTTCTTGTTTTCCAAATGTTTGATGCCTTGGGGGCACTGTTTAGTTAAAGTGGTGAAGATCATCAGAACAGTTGTGACGAAAAAAAAAATTAGTTCGTAAAATATTTGTTAGTTTTATTTATTTACTTGAAGAGGGTTAAATATAAAATTATGTATTCAGTATTAGTTTTAATAATAAGTATTAGTTTATAATAAGTCTTAGTTTTAAGTATTCATTTTATTTCGGATTGGAATAACCAACAGCTGATTGGGAAAAACAAAAGACAGTTAGAGAGAGATGGCGGAACCTCGCTACTATAGAGGCAGGCTAAGTATTGGTGTGTGTGAAATGCTTTAGTTTTACGGTGTACACCAAGATTTTCTTTACTATTCATGGACCTGTGATTATCAGCGTTGAGTGCCGCTTGATCTCACAAGTTGGTGAATGATCATTTTCACAACTTGAGGAGATAAATTGGGGAGTCACTGACGACCTAGCTGGAATAAGTTCTCACTTCCTCAAATAATTCAATGTGCCAATTGGACAAAGTTCGGCATTGAGCTTTTGTTAATATGTATATATAAGTTTTTATTTCCTATCTATTTTTTTTTTTTTAATGTTTGTAATTGGTTTATTGTTTTCTTTCTTTTCTTATAAATCTAATTTTTTGTTCATAATTTTAATTTCCTTTAACAGTTATTTAAATAAATAGAAATAAGTAAATTCATCATGAGTATTAATAATAGCCAGTTTTTTTTCTTCTGTTTATTTTCACGTTTTATGTATACTATATTCTTTTTTTTTTTAAGGTTTAACAAGGAACTGTAAAACCCTATTGGAGGGATTAGAGAAAGTCATTATGAACCAAGTAAGAAGGTTCGATAGGTTATGAGGTCAATTAATATATGTTTTTAAACCCATAGGTTCCGAGTTCGTAGCTCACTCCGCGTATTCCTTTTTTTTTTTAATTAAATTTATTTTTTTTATTTTTATGGTTTTCGCTTTTTTCCAATTTCGACCAATTAAATAGCGTGGGGCCTCTTAGATAACTAATAATAATAAGGCTTAGCGAAACCGAAGGTTCGATGCCGACACCACCAATCGCTTGTTACACACCTCCCTCCACCGTTCGCCGTCCAAACCCAGTCCCTTCAGATCGGCCTTAATGCAATCTTCCCACCTTCGCTTCGGTCTACCCCTCGGACGCTTACCATTCGGCACAGCAAATATTAACCTTTTAGGAATTCTCTCGTTACTAAGCCCAACAACTTTACAAGCCCATTTGATTCGCCTCGATGAAATTACCTCAATTATATTATCCGGATACAGCTCATGCAATTCGGCGTTGTGTAGCCGTCTGAACTCTCCGGTAAACTCATCCTTCTTCGGTCCGAATATTCTACGCAATACTTTATTTTCAAAGATCTTAAGACGCTGCTCATCCCTTAATGTAAGCGGCCAAGTTTCGCATCCAAATAGAACTGTAGGCAAGATAATTGTTTTATAGATTCTAATTTTTAAGTTTCGGGACAAGAGGCGCGAACTAAGTAGTTTTGTCACAGAAAAATAACAAGCATTCCCCGCCTTCAGTCTAACCTTAATCTCTTCTTCAATTTCGTTTTTTCTAGTTATCGTAGAACCTAGATACCTAAATTTATCTACCTGTTCAAACATATTACCATCTATATCGATATCACCAGTAGTATCGCCATTTTTGCAGCTAACCATATATTTTGTTTTACCCACGTTTATTTCGAGTCCTAGTTCTTTACCGGCTTTCATTAACGTTGTCGTATTTAGTTTTATAGTTTCAACGTCTTCGCTTAACAGTACCAGATCATCAGCATAGCCCAGCACGGATGTTGTCCCGCCCAGATCCAACCCTTTCTCGGTTCGCATTACCTCCCTAATGGCATGTTCTAATGCCAAATTGAACAGGACAGGCGAAAGAGAATCCCCCTGTTTTAAGCCCGAACGAACCTCAAATTTTTCGGACAAATTATTACCGATTCTAACTTTATTGAGTGTCTCCGTCAAGCACATCCTGACTAGATTTACTAGTTTTTTTGGAATCCCCTGCTCGATTAGAATATTATACAGTTTCTGGCGGTCAATAGAATCGTAAGCCTTTTTAAAATCTATATACAGCTGGTGAACAATACCGTTATACTCCAATTTTTTCTCTAATATTTGCCGTAAAGAAAATATTTGATCAATTGTCGAACGATAGCGTCTAAATCCGCATTGGTAGTCTCCGATAATTTCCTCGGCATATTCCGTGATTCGACTGGTTAAGATTAAAGTGAATATTTAACTAGTAATATTAGACAACTTGTAATATTTAATTTAGTTATCTTAGTTATATTTAATTTAGTTATCTTAGTTATATTTAATTTAGTTATCTTAGATAACTAGTAATATTTAATTGACTCTTGATTTTTTTTTTTTTTTTTTTTTTTTTGCGAACCCTGCCGTCTCCACTGAGCATCCGGCAAGTTCGTTGCGGAAACGATTTTTCCAAATTAAAGACCGTAACACAGTATCAAAAAATCAGTTGAGGAATCTCAAAATAAAGGAATTACTAAATGTCATCTAGTGGTTGAAACTGACATGGCTCAGGTGCATTGTGTCTCAGTCTGAGATCAAGTGTAAAATAGTTATTTTTTTCACTTTGATATGAATTTTCAGTACTAGTTCACATGAGTTCTGCGTGGTCCACAATCACTTCGATCACACTAGCTCATGGGATCTCGAAAACAGCCGAATGTTGCCATATTTTTTGACGTCAGATACTGCCTCCACCACACAATTCTCTTTCATGGATTTTTAAAATACCTGCAAATCCCCATCATTGGACTTAAAAGTATTTCATTTCCTTTCCATAAGTTTTTACCTCACTACTCTTTTCCTATTTCAAACTCGACTTCCTTTTTCTTCTCTTTTTTGGAAAAACATGCTTTTCACAAATTCTACTTCCTTAACGCCAAAATGTGTTCATTACACTGTCTCACACAGTTCAGATTGCTGTCCCATTTTTATCTCAATATTATTGAACAATTTCCATTCATCATAATATGGACATGAACATAATACAATATTTTAGACCAAAAATGTATACGGAAAGTTATTCATCTGGTGGTGGTAATTTGAAGTTACTTAGGTGATGACAGCAGTTATTTTTCAATCTATATATTTTTCACTTGAATACAATGTATTAATTATTATATTATATATATAATGTTATTTATATTATATTGTGATTATAATTATTATGAAATAGAAAAGGAAGCACAATATAGTGTGCAATGAAAATATTAAAAATTAAAGGCTCAAATTATTGTTGGGCTTATATGAAGTTAAATAGATATTATGGTTACAAATTTGCAATAATAATAATAATTATAATTATATAATAATATAAATTGGCAATAAAGCGCGATGTATAATATAGATTTTTAAAGAAATTAAAATATTTTCCGAACTATAGTTTCGTTCAGTTTATTTTATGTTGATTAAAAATAATACTATCTGAATCACAGGATACATCAATACTATACAATACAATAGATCACTATAGTAGTACAATTAAATGAACAGTTGTATAATTTGAAAAATAGGGGTTGGGCGGACTAGGCTCTCCCCTAGTTTCTAATAATATTATAATAAGTCACTAATTTGAACTTTTTTACTATCTGGCCTCTGGTGATAAGTTTTTTATGGGCTGTTTGGTGGTCTCTTGAGCTGATGTCAGCCATAATCAACCTGAAGATATGATTATTCTTGATAGTGTACAAAAGAATCTTTAGAGCTTATAATTATTGTTTTATAGTCTATGGTACAAAACCCTTTGTATCAAATTATTAACATCCAGCTGAAACTTCTTAAATAACTTCATCTCATCGTAACCTACAACTATTTTATTTACGAAAATTCTCGGAATTGGGCCGTTTTCAATTTGGAGGGAGGCAAACTTTGTCTATTTAATTAGGAACTAAAAACTCTTAAATACTCATTTGCTTTACACTTGAGTCGTAAGATAAGTTGAGCACTAAGTCGGGAAAAAAGATGGCCTTCATAAATTTGAGCCGTTTGGCGTGACCTACACCCCCAAATTGTCAAAATAACGAGGTTATATAGGCCCAAACGACTCAATGTTTTTGAAGGCCAATTTTTTTTTTTTTATAGATTTTTTGCTCAAGTTATCTTATGAATCAAGCGGAAAGTAAATGTGAATTAACGAGTTTTTAGTACCTAATTAAATAGACAATGTTTGCTATCCTCCAGATTGAAAACGCACCAATTCCGAGAATTTTTGTAAATAAAATATTTGTAGGTTAAGAAGTTTCAGGCGGATGTTAATAATTTGATAAAATGGGTTTGTACCCAGTGTTACCGCGCGCTCTGTAACAAAACCTCGTACTCAAGCCTCGTACATCCTCGTACGCTTGTTCATTCATAACTTGTACTATTATAAGCCCAGTGTTATTGTTTTTTTTATAGTAAAATTAGATCAGAATTTTTTATTTTTACCTCCATTCATATATTTTAAAGCCTTTTTACATTACTTTTTTTTTAAGTTAATGGGTCAAGAAGTA